CTAGAATGAGCTGGGATTAGGTTCATCCTTACAGGAAGTGTTCATATTTGTTTTTCTTTCCTTTTATATCCCTTTGAACACTGTTCTCAGTCACACTCAAGGAACAAAGCCGCCTCAGCAGAATGAACATCTGATTAGAAAACTAATAAAGAAAACAGGAAGGCACTTCACCATCCTGAAGTACAGAGATACAAGAGTATCTAGATTCCTCCCACGTCAGTGGCAGAAATTGAAGGATTCAATGATACAGACTGTAATGGGTCTCTAATGACTCTTCTGTGAGGCATTTTCTAAAACAGGGTGATACTCTCATCTGTTCTTCCAGTTAGCGCTCCAGTTCCGCAAAGATATGGAGACAGGAAACACTACCAGCTATGCAGATGCTGCGGAAGAACAGTATTTGGTGATGACTTATGACACTTAAATGATTGTACTCCTGGAAAAGTGCTAAATGATTCAGAAGAACCAAAAGATTATGTTTAGCAAAACCCACAGGTATGATCAAAAGGGCTTTTAACTGAAATCAAAGGGTAGAAAAAGTCCTTGGGGCATAAAATCTGAATAGACATTTTTCCAAGGAAGATAGACAGATGACCAATAGGCACATGAAAATATGTTCGATATCCCTAATTATTAGGGAGATGCAAATCAAAAAATATAAAAACTGATGATATGATTGATGAAATCACAATGATATATCACCCTATAGCTGTTAGAATGATTATTATAAAAAAGACAAGATTTAAGTGTTGGAGAAGATGCTGAGAAAGGGAACCCTCATACATTGTTGATGAGATTGTAAACTGGTACAGCCACTATGGAAAACAGTATGGAGTTCTTAAAAAAAATAAGAATAGAACTGCCATATGATCTAGAATTCCTTTTTTGGGTACTTATCCAAAAGACTATGAAAACACAAATTTGAAAATATATATGTTCTCATATGTTCAATGCAGCATTATTTACAATAGCCAACATACAGAAACAAGCCAAGTGTCTATTTATACATGACTAAATAAAGATGTGGTACACATACAATGAAATACTACTCAGCCATAAAAAAGGAAATACTGCCATTTGTGATAACATGGAAAGATCTTGAGGGTATTATGGCAGCTTAATTTTTCCCAAATCGGAGCATCTGATAAATTCCTATATGCTGAAAATTGTACCCTTCGACAGATAAAGGAAGCACTGAGGGGAACTGATTTAACTATTTCATACTTACATTTGAACAAAGAGAACTGAACAATGATGCAGAAGTGACAGGAACTCTGGTAGTGACCATGCCCAGGAAAGACAAGGGCACTGTCAAACATGTAGCCTACACCTGTGGTTGGACATTTTCAGTCACTCATGACATACTTAGGAAAACAGGAGATATGTTGGATTTATAGATGTCTGAATCAGAGTAATGACTGGCTGACTCATGTCAAGCATGAGAAAGTCCACTACTTTCTACTGGTCTACTACTGGTAGAAAGTCCACTACTGGTCTATTCTTGGTTTGGTTCTACAAAATATTTTAGATCAGTAACTAGAAGAAATGGGAGCATTTCTATATATTTTCAGGTGACACAAAGCTAGGAAGGAGAGTTAAAATCAGGGTAAAATAGTTTATTCAGTAAATACTGATTGAGTACCTTTATGGGCAAGTGCTAAAGTGAATACAATGATGAATCAAGATACAGTTTTTCCTCTCATGATTTCCTTTGGGAAAATCAAATAGAGGAGACAAAATATGTGTAAATAATCACTGAATAAGGTATGAAGCTGTATGTTTCATAAAAAATATAGATAACCTGGTTAGATAGGTCAATGATAGGAGATATTACTTTAGTTTTATGTCTTGATGGGTTCAGAACCTGTGATGATTTGGAGGAAGTGTTCACAGGAACATGTTAGAGGAGCAGAATCCGGGCACGCAGTAATAAAGAGAAAGGGAATTCAGATTCAGAGGTGGAAAAGCATGGAGCTTATATCGGGAAGAACTTGTGGTTTGGTATGAAGAATGGAATTCAGGACAGGCAGCAGTAGGAAACAAAAGTTGGGAAATAAGATTCTGGGATCCAGGCTGGCACAATAAACTAAAAACAATAAAATTAAATTTAACTTGGATGAACTGGCAGTTTTAAGATGGCAGTGTAAAGATGTTGCTCCCCTTAAAGTTACCTCCAAAAAGTAAGGCCCAAACTCCCAATTTGAATGACTAAGAGGCATATATGAACCACAGTAACATGGAAGTTAAAAGCAGATAAAAGAATGATTGATGACTTAGCACAGCCATGTGCCTGAAGAGGGACATACCACAAAGTGGCAGCACCTCCAAACCCTGGAAACACTGAGGAGTTAGAAGTACCCATGACAAAGGCAGAGGGGAGGTGAAGAACTGAAATCAGGAAAATTGGGCTAAAAACAAGAAAAGCCGGAGGCAGAAGAAAGTAAGTCCCTGCTCACACTCAGTGATACTGAGCAAAAAGAATGGGCTGAAGCTAAAATACTTCTATAGGATTTCTTTAAAAATTAATAATTATTTATTCTTTCTTAAATGTTTCTAAATAAAACTTTTTAATGATGTTTAATACAGGTTGAAATATTTTTAAGCACTTCTTAATCAGAAGGACTTTAAAAAAAAATATGTATGCTCTAGCTCGAAGTCCCAACATCGGAGATTTTAATTTAGTAGAGTAGGGACTAGGAACTTGTATTTTGACAAAAAACCACAGAGTTAGTGTAAAAAACAGAAATTTATCACCAAAACCCAGCAAAAGGTAAAATGGCACAGAGAAAACTACAGGCACGTTCATTCACTGGTAAACACGTACGTGTCAGGTACTGTTCCAGGAACTGGGAATGGTGCAGAACCTGAATAACCAACCCTCTACCCTCACGGAGTTTATATTCCAGTTGAGGGGGACATACAAACACTGTATGTAAGGTTAGTAGCATTTCACATATTATTGGAAGGTTATATGAAGAAAAACGAAGCAGGCAAGGGGAAAAAGGAACGAGGCCAGAGAGAAGGTGATACATGAGTAAAGGTTTGGAGGAGGCGAAGGAGTACCCCATGAAGACATCTGGGAAGTGTCTGAGGCAGAGAGAACAGCTAACACAAAGGCCTTGAGAGAGGAGACTGTCCATTCATTCATTCAAGGGACAGCAAGAAGGCTAGCAGAGCTGAGCTGAGTAAGCAAAGACAAAAGATCAAAAAGGTAACGGGAGAGCTAAACTGTACAGGACCTCATCAGCCTGTGAAGGAATTTGGTTTTTACTCCTAGTAAGATAGAAAGCCATATGAATAGAAGAATGAATATTTAAGGAGTAATTTAAATATATATATATATATATATATATATATGTATACACACATATGATATATGTAATTCTGAAACACAGTGGAATCAGTCTAAATAATTAATAAAAATAATTTTAAGTGGTGCCTGGAAACCTTGGTTGTCTAAATAGATATAGACAATACCTACTATAGCACTTCAAAGTAAGTGTTTAATAAGTATTTGTGGAATAAATGGACAGTGGATTTATACAGAAAAGAAAAGTAAGAGTTTTTAAAATTCTTATAAAATCAGAAGTAATAAATACCTTGAGAATGTAACAGTTAACCTAAGATACAGTCTTATCAAAGATGTCAGGGCATTTGTATAGAAATCAAGTCGATGTTCCTATTTCATCCTTCATATATGTTACACAAGAAGAGACTAAATAAAAAGGCTTCCAGAGTCACTCTGAAACCCTTCCTCTTTTGTTTGAAAGAGTAAAACACACAGTTTTTAACAGCCCATATTTTAAGCTTAGCTCAAGCTTTCCTGGGTTCTAGCTTTAAAAACTTATTTATTATGATTCATATCAAACTAGTTCTGCTTTATTCTTTTAATAAAAGAACTTTGTATATTCTCATCCCAAAGTCTGGTTCAGTTTTTTTCTACAGACTAGGCAGAGTCCCGGGTTTTGACCGACAACAAAGAATTCTGGAAGCGACAAACCCACTGCTTTGACATCCTCTCCTCCCGCTGTCAACACTGCAGCTTTTAAATGAGCCAATCCACTCTTTCTGGTTGCCAGATACTATTTGTTTAAATTACTTTGCTGGTAAAGAATGCATCGGCAGCAAAAGAGAACTGTTCTTTAGTATTAGTACTTCCTTTGCCTGATAGTGGAATGGTACAAAAACATCACTTTTTTCATTAACAGAAAAACAGTGGGCTGCTAGCTCCTTCAACCACTGCAATAGGACCTTTATAGGAATAGAAAGAAAGTAGCTTCTGCTGTTATATACAACTGCAGATCATACCATGGCATCATACCATGTAATCATTTCCTAGGAAAAATATAAATTCTAAAATCATATAATAAATTAAAATCATTATGTTATATGGCTAAAAGATTTATGATCTTAGACATGCTTATTGATTTTGGAGAGAGGGGAAGGGAGAGAGAAAAATAATGATGCGAGAGAAACATCAATCAGTTGTCTCTTGTATGTGCCCTGACCGGGGACCGAACCTGTGGCTTTTCAGTTTATGGAACAATGCTCTAACCAAGTGAGCCACACTGGCCATAAAGGGTGATTTATGCTGTTTTCCAAGAACCAAACCATTGATAGACAAAATTCAGAATAAAAAAATAAAAAAATTTTTTTGTGCTAGCACATGGGAATTAAGCTAATGCCATACAAAGAGTCCACTTTCATTCCCTTATAGCTACATCTGAGATTTGCAATGGTAACTGTATAAAGCAAGAAAATTTATGCAAATCTATATTAAACTTTTAGTTTGAAGTGTAAGAACAATTTTAATTAGAAAGATCTGACTTTTGGTTACTTTTTTCCAGGGCATGAATTGAACATAGGAAAGAAGTAAGAGAGGAGAAAACTTGGTCACTCGGTTTAGCAGTTCTTCAGGTTGGAAAATAACAACGAAACCTCCAGGGTTAAGAATTTCAAATGAGGCTGCTAGACAGAGAAGACAGACCAAATCGGCTTACCACTTGAACCATTTTGAGATATCTGGCATATCTTGGATCCTTGGCTACAGTTAAGATATTTTCTGCTGTTACTTCACTTTCCTGTGGTCCAGAGTCTTGTAAACTGTTCTGCTGTAGAGAGTATTTCGTGTAAATCTTTAGACAATTCACAAAAGGGGTCCATCATGTTACTTTAAAGGGATTTTTTAATATAATCTAAAGCAATCAATATCAGAAAAAATCATATTTCTAAATTTAAATACCAACAATTTAATTATAAGATATATGATTCCAAATATTTATAAATACTTAAATATGATTTAGAGGAAGCTACACTTAATAACACTATTTTGTTCCTTAAAAATGCAAATATATTTATGGAATTAAAAAATATTAGAATTCTGCCCTTACTTTGGGAAACCAAGGGAGCTTATAAAAAAAGATGAGTTATTAGTGGACATGTTATTTTAATAAAGCTTCTAATAAAACTAATAAAACTATTCAATTTGTCTATTGTTCGACTCTAATTCACAATGAATTGATTTTCTAAGTGTCTATCATCTACACAATTGAATTCCTCATTTACAAAATAATCTTTTTCTAAATTGATATGGCCATTCTAACATCTCAGAAAGCAATGCCTAGAGAATTTGTGGAAGAAAAAACTCATTTTTCAAACAAAATGATCTGGTTATGGGTATTTCAGCTACTGATAGAACTATTAATGGTAACATTCTCCAGAGTGGTTAAGATTAAATACTGACTAGTCCTTACAGTGAAGAATACCAGGGAACGGTCTCTTAGTGAGAAATGCTTTCCTCGTGCGGGCAGCTCCCATAGTGCTGTGCGAACCGGAACCTGCCCTGCCCGTACCGCAGCCCAGCCCTAAGTGCAAAGCTCGGACTGTCTATACAGTTCTTGACTTCTCTACCAAACTAAACATTTAGAGTAAGTTTACTTTTGTGAATTCTCACTCATTATCTGTATAATAACATTAATTTCCTTAACAGGATGGAATCAATTTCATGTCCACAGATCTATGCTGAAATGTAGACAAATCAAGAAATATCTTAAAATATTCAGTTTTAAAAATGTGAATGTGAATTATATATTAAGGTTTTTCCTCAGATAATTCAAATATAAATTAAATCTGTCAAAAACTCTGACGCAAATAAAACATCCAAAAATCCTTCAGTTTTCTACTGTCACATTAAGTGCACAAAAAGAGTATGTGTGTATATATATTCATCTGTAAATACAGAAAGCCCAAAACATTTAATTAAATTAAAAATGCAAATAAGACCCAAGTATGTTTTTTTAAAAAAGTTATGAATAATAAACTCATACAAAAGTACATAAGACTAAATGATAATTACATACAGGCCCTCTGGATCTCAAAACTTAGCCATTAACTTTTGCCTAATAATCAAGACCTCAACAAGGTTTAATTATGTCAGGTCTTACACCTTTGCTATTTGAATGACCCAATAAATCCTCTATCACATCTCTCAACTGTCCTTCATTTTATTCACATCTGCACAATTGGATGTTCTATTGTGAGTAATGATGAAATCTGAACCATGAAATTAAAGTTGCAGAAAAATCAGTATGCAAAGTTTGGATTTTTGACTCATATATAGAGATTGCAGTGAATGGATGATTAAGAAAAAGTGCATGATTATCCTTTATCTGATAAGTTGACAGTAATGTCAATGGGAATGCTGTACTAAGCAATACTTAAGTCCATTTCAAAATATTTTACAGAAATATACTAATTAATAACAATGGAGAAGAAATAAGTTGATTTGATACCGGGAACATGATAAACAGTTAGTTTATTAAACTAATCAATATACAACTTTACCACATTTTAAAACTCAGGAAGCCAAGAGAACTTCATAAATCCTCCAAATGAATTAATATACAATTTTAAAATAAAATTGCCAGAGATATAGCAGGTTATTCTGAATTTTAGAAAATTTAGCTGTGATCACTTATAATAAATTTTTTGAGACCTTAAGTAGGCAGGATGAATACAACTGCCTAAGTTTTAAAATGCGTATTATAGATGACATTCACAATTAACACCTGGAAAAATTAATATTCCAAGTCATATGAATACACTTAAAACCTTATAGAAACATACGACAGCTAGTATCCACTCTTCTAGGTAGAGTGCAAATTCTTTTTAAATTTTTATGTCTTGTAGAAAAAGGGTGGTCCATATTTAACGGAAAGGGCCTATAAACTCAACAACATCTGGATTTCCTCCTGCACATTACACATATTCCAATGGTCCTCGTACTAGAATTTCCTATATTAATGAAATAGATGTTAAATTTTCTAGTATCTCATTGTTAAGTAAATGGTCATCTAATTCATTACAAAAATCTCTGCTCTATCTAAATATATGGCTCCTCCTACAGTGCATCATACTACATGGCTGCAACACATTTAATGAATTCAGCATAGGGGATGGACCCACCTGTGGCAGGGTAGTGCCACAGGTAAGAGCTGTGTCTTTTGGCACCAGATTGCCTGAGTTAAAATTCTAGCCCTTATACTTATTGTTTGACTGTTAGCCAGTTACTTATCCTCTGTGTACCTTAATTGATACATCTGTAAAGTAGAAACAATGACAGAATTTACTTTGTAGGGCTGCTATGAGGATTAAACGAGTTAATTTACAGAAAGCACTTAGAAGTATGCCTGGTTCCTGTAAGCGCCCTTTAGTGTTAGTCACTATCACCATGGTCAACACAGTAATGATCTAAAAAATATTACATGAAAAGTACCTCTAGGTACAAATGCAGTATTCCATACAGACAGGAAGTCTACATGTTCAGTATTAGTTGACAGAACACCAAGTTTGGGATGATTTTATTTTAAATTTTAATAACTCAGTAAGATTCACTAGAGATTATTCTCAATCAATTTTAATTTCTTGAAATAAAAAGTAATATGTAATTTAAACTTAAACAGAGAATAAATGAACATTAAGGCTTGAGAAGCAAATGTAAAATCCAAAACATACTTTTTAGACAACTGGTATTTCTTTGACCAGTATTTCTCAAATTTCAAGAAACTACTAATCAATCACCTAGGGAACTTGTTAAAACGTAGATTCTGGTTCAGCAAGTCTGGAGTGGAGCCTGGTATTTCTAACAAGCCCCCAGGTGATGACTGTGCGGCTGGTCCTTGGAGCAAAGGTTGAGTAACAAGAGGTTAGATGATGCCATGGAATTACTTGTCAATGATATTGTGTATGACAAAGGTATTGTGGTTATGCAAGAAAATGTCAGAACGTTTCAGATGCGCCATGAATTACACAGGGATGAAATGACATGATGCCTGGGGTTCACCACAGCAAGTGATAAAACAGAGATGAAGGCAATGGCCACAAAATCTCAACCGGTGACTCTGGGTAATAGGCACTTGGACATTCCTTGTACTATTTTATTATCGTGTACATTTGAAAGTTTTTAAACATTTAAAAAGAACATTTCTCATAAGAACTTAGTAAAAATTTCCATAGTGGACTTGAAGGAAATAACTATATTCAAGATTTTTCCTAGTCCTGTATAAATCAAGTTGCTTTGTCATAGGTAAAGAAATTATTAACTTCGGGAACCCCTTCAAAATAACAACAAAAAAAAAACCAGCTAATTATTTTCCAAACTTCATTTCCTATCTTAAGGCTTTAAAATGTTACTATTCAAAGTTTTATACTTTTATTTAACTTCTTCCATCCAATATGCTGCATAGGTCTGTCTGGTGCAACCAGAAGATCTGCTAATGTTTCTTGGAACTGAAATACTTACCTGTGATTGCTCTGAAGTGGTTTCAGCATGTGATTCATTTGTGATACTGGTGACACTTATGGGACATACTTCACATGTGACATCATCTAGGCCTGGGATAGATGACAACTGAGAAAAGAAAATTAACTTTGGTATATGAGGATACTATTAGGTACTTAAACACTCTAAATTTCCAGGTGTGTGTTTTAAATAGCTCCCTTATGTTTTTAAGTCTGCAGAAACAAGCTTATAAAACTTCATTTTTGGTGCTTGAAATTCTCCATGCCACCAACTGTTTAAAAAGGGAGTCATTAATAAATAAAATATTCTTGAACAATTTCTTACAAGTCTAATTTAGCCTATAATCTTTTTTTTTTAAACCAGGAATTACTTTGAAAATACAAGAAATCCTAGTGTAAGAAATGAGAGCATGGGCTCTGGAGTCAGTGCCTGGATTAGGTCATAAGCCATGTGACCTTGTATAAATCTCCGTTATGCCTCGATGTTCTCACCTGTAGAGTGGGGAGAAAAAATCCTTACCTCACAAAGACGTTGTAAAAAGATCATTACTATACATTGTAAAAAAGGTACTCGGTAGCACCTTTCAACTTTCAATTATTTGAGAAGTGACAAAACTTTTGTCTTCACCTTTTAATGTCTGACAGAGCTCACTCTTTTCTTTCTTTAAACATTTATCTTCAAACATTACTAAAACATGTTATTTTTCATACACAAAAGAACGGGCACATGCTGTCAGTGGTCAAGCATGTCATGCTGGAGGCACAAGATCCATGCAAACCCTCTTCTCTGATTTCATCTTGGTATCAATGATAAACATTTGTCAAATGTTTGGCTAATTTTGGAGATTAGCTCTATGACCATGGAAATAATTAAGGTTAACTTGTCCATATAGTAACTTTACTTGTGACCTTGGGCTCTGACTCAAGAATTCCCCGAACATGAAAAGAAGATACATACTCATAATAAAGAATAATGAAAAGACCACTGGTAATGAGAACTGAAGCAGTGATTTTCATTGGGAACTGTTGACTGATGACGGTACTTAGCACAGTGGCAAGGGCCCAAACAGTTTCGAGTGGGTATGGCAGCTAGAGTTCCTTGAATATGTTCAAGGCCAGGTATCCTAAATTTTCCAAGTCAGAGAAATGTTCTGAGAAAAATACAGTGGCTGAAGTCTATAAGAAGATGTAAAAGTACAAACATCCTGATCCTTCTGCTAAAGATATCAGTCATTTTACTTACTCATAAATTCTTAGTATTTTTTCAGATTAAGTTTTTTGATAAAAGGACAAAGTCAAAAAATATACTAGTGTCTTTATTACTTTACAGACAGAAGAAAAAACCCCAAATCTGCAAAATTTCAAATCAAAACAACATTCTATTTTTACTAGTTATCTTTTGTAATTTCTGACATCAAAATGCATATTCTTCATTAGTATTTAATATATTTGCAAATACAAATGGCTGATATTAACTCTAAATTCTACTCTGGAGATATCCCAAGTCATAATTTTTACTGTGTTATCAAATAATTACTATTAACTATAACTGATAATTTTCCATCAAATGAAGAAAACTATGTAATAGCTCAATTTGTTAACTTGTTACTCATATTATGCTTCTGACTAGGATAATGAAAGAGATCTCATCCCATGAGCACATTTAAACAGACTCAAGTTCATGAGTATCCTTCCTTTTTTAATTATAATGAATTTTAAAAAAACAAGTAAAAAACACTGTATTACCTCAGGATACAGGAGATGAATTTATTTCATTCCCAAATGCAAATTAAAGTTAAGTATAACTGAGACAGTTGGTAAGTATACAGCAAAGTTGATATTCCAAATTATTCAAGATACAAACCTTTGCATCTAAAATATTGAGTGTTGTTTCAATTTGTTGGATACGAAGGGAAAGGTCTGCCAGTTTCTGGAAAACATTAGAAACAAAAGAATAAATTCTGATTAAAATAAACTATTAAGGATAAAAAGGGTAGATGTGAAAATAATAAAAACTAACATTTAAGTATTTGTCATTTTCTACTATACTACTTTCTTATTTACATGAATAGGAATAGGAACTCAAGTATTCTATTATTTTCGTCAGCATGCTTCACATTTTTTTATAAAACTGTATTCACAGATAAGAAGTCCATTTTTAGCCTTATCAAACTCATTATCAGAGCCATAACCAATATTGGGGATCAGAATGAAAACTTATCCTAGAACAGAACCCCAGTGCCCAGAACAGTACTTGATATTTAATAGGAGCCTAATAATTATTTGTTGATGAATGAAGAAATTCTTCACAGAAAACAAGAATAAAAATTAACACAAGGTAGCCTGGAACAGTATCTGCCTTTAGAAATTACTTAAACAGGTAAGTATATACCATTAGTCCTCAATTCAAACTTTTCAAGTTTGAAAAGTAAAAAGAGATGAAGTTGAAAAGTGAGCAGTTCATGTTGGTGAGAATTAAAACAAAAAAAATCAGAGTACTAAAAAAGCAAAAGGATTCAATCTACCATCAAAATCTCAGATAAACTAGACCAAAGGCTTACTATGCTCCAGTTAACTCTGTACAATTTATCTATCTATCTATCTATCTATCTATGTATCTATCTATCATCTATCATTGCCACTGTAAAGTAACATCACAAAACACAATCCACGAGAACATTTATTTAAAGCCCCTTAATCCTAAACATTATTATATTTAGTGACACAGTGCAAGAGCAGTTGGCCAATTCACAACTGGCAGACATGCTGCATTTTGACTGCTTTCTGGGATATTATCAAGATCCCAAGTCATATGCAGATTTTAACACGCTAAGAAATGGTCATTTTACCCAGTTAGAAAGAGAAAAAAAAAAAAATAGAAAGCCAGCACAAAGTAGTTAGTGCTTCTTCACAAAACACTATTTTTAAGGTGAACATCTTGGTATCTACAAAGTTGTAATTTAGAAATAAAACATCAGAATCTAGTTTTAATAGCATTCAAAGCTAAGTTTAACTTTGATTTCTAGGATTTGTTCATAGAAGGCTTTTATATAAGTGTAATACAGGTTTATAAAACATCATATAGATGGATTCCTCTCCAAATTATAGGTGTTTTTGTGAAAATCATGAAAATTAAAGTTTGGCCAGTTGAATCAATCTTTCAGTTCACTAAAGAAGTTTATTAATTGCAGAAATCCTACATCAAGTTAATTTGTAAACTGAATGTAATTTCTAACTTATTTTAAAATGCATACATTAGTTTTATGAAAGTAAATGAACGCAAAAGAGAAACAAAAAGATGAATTAAAAATTAATCTTTATGCTTTAACATATTTTATATAAATATGTATTCTAAGCCATAATCATCATTGTAAACATTTGGGCACTTACTTATATATCATTTGAAATCTCACACCAAATGTATGAAGTAGGAACTATTACTATGACAACAACTTTCAAGCTGAGAAAACTAAGTCTTCAAACAAGTGGAATATTCTGAACTCAAATACTGCAACTCCAGATACTATTTTTCAAAGAATTTTACATTGTTCTGAAAGAATTCTGCACTGTTAGAACACGATGCCATAGTTGATGATGTGTCAACGCGGATTGTCAAAACTGCGCGTTAACAACTATACCCGCCAACGGGGGGCGCTGACTGTGGGAAGGGTTGTCCATGTGGAGGCTGGGGGTCGGGAGCGTATGGGAACTCAGTGCTTTCTGCTCAGTGTTGCTGTACACCTAAAACTGCTCTAAAAAACAAAGCTTATTGATTAAAAAAGATGGAAATTTCCACGTATTTCATAGATAAAATTTTCAGTATTCAAAGCTAATAAGTGACCAATCCATTTCTTACTATGATGAAGATGATGTTGTGCTGAAACACAGGGAACTACATTTTCCTGATCAAATGTTTTCCTAGCACATTTTCTGTTTATCTGGAATTATTTAAAAATTGGTATTAAATTCTTTTCAGGGTTAGATCATAAAACTAAACTGTTCTTCAATGAGCAGTCAATGATTCATATTTAAAAATTGGTATTACATTTTTTGAGGCTTAGATCATAAAACTAAATAGTCCTTCCTTCAATGAGTACTCAATGATTCATACAGGATAGACTAAGGTTTGAAATACAAGTCTTAGAAAATAGGAAATAAGAATGAAAATAGTCATTTGGAAAATTACTTGTTGATAAGGAAGATTAAAGAGGCCTGGACAAAAAGCTTATACAGTCCGCACTCCGTGTCTGCAGGTTCTGCACCATCAGATTCAATCAACCAACAATCAAAGTTACTAAGGAAGAAAAAAGTCGTGGTGTTGCTGACATTCACTAAGTGTTAGTTAGGACTACAATGCTTGTGTCTGTACTAAATATGTACCGACTTTTGTTATTGTCATTATTGCCTAAACAATACAGTGTAACAACTATTTACCTAATGCAAGTGTTTACCTTGTATTAGGTAGTTTAAGTAATCTAGAAATAATTTAAAGTATAAAGGATGATGTGTGTAGGTTATTTGCAAATACAACACCATTTTATGTAAGGGACTCGAGGCTCCCCAGATACTGGTGTCTGTGCAGGTCCTGAAACGAATCCTCTGTGGATACTGAGGGATGACTGTACTTTCTGAGGCAATAATTCTCATTTTGTTTTTTTGGATGCAGATTCATGTAGTATGTCAATCTTTGGCTTTGGCAGTCATTTTACCTACTTCCATCTACTTTATCAAAAACTCACCAAAGTGAAATGACCTTTTTTAAAAAAAGAAAACAAGATTATATGATTTATACATGCAAGGCATGGAAGACACTGATAAACATTAATATATTTTAATTTATAATAATTTATCTGAACATCCTTGATACCTAATCTAAAAACCATAGTTGTGAAGCACAGCTGTCCCCCTTATCTGTGGTTTTAGTTACCCGCGGTGAACCATGGTCTGAAATATTAAGTGGAAAATTCCAGAAACTAACAATTCATAAGTTTTCAATTGCACACCATCCTGGGCAGCGTGATGGAATCTTGAGCTGTCCTTCCCAGGATGTGAATCGTCCCTTTGCCCAGTGTATCCATGCTGGGTGTGCAACCCGACCGCTCGTCAGTTAGTGGCCATCTCGCTTATCACATTGACTGTCACAGTATCTCAGTGCTTGTGCTCCAGTCATCCTTGTTCTATCTAAAATGGCTCTAAAGGGCAAGAGTAGTGATGCTGGCAATTTGCATGCCAAGAAGCTATAAACTGCCTCTTTTAAGTGCAAAAGTATGTATGTATAGGGAAAATATAGTAGGGTTCAGTATTATTCATGGTTTCAGGTACCCACTGGGGTCTTAGAAGGTATCCCCTGCAGATAAGGGGGGAACCACTGTATAAATCTGAAAAAATATAATTTAATTAAAAAATCTATAATTTCTCATAAAAAAATGTTCAACATCACCCATTAGGGAAATTAAAATCAAAACCACAATAAGATATCACCTCATACCAGTGAGAATGGTTATTATCGAAAAGACAAATAGCAAGTGTTGGAGAGGAGGAGGAGGGGGAGAAAAGGGATCCCTCATACATTGACGGTGGGAATGTAAACTGGTGCAACTATGAAAATCAATATGGAGATTCCTTAAAAAATTAAGACTAGAACTACCCACACGATCCAGCAACTCCACTTCTGGGTACTTATCCAAAGAATAAAAAACATTAATTTAAAAAGACATATGCATCCCTATGTTAACTGCAGTATTATTTACAATAGCCAAGACATGGAAACAGCCCAACAGTCCATCAGTGGATGAATGGATAAAGAAGATATGGTGTTGCCCTGACCAGTGTGGCTCAGTTGCTTGGAGCATTGTCCTGTAACCCAAAGGTTGCAGGCTCAATTGTGGGTTCATATCCCAGTCCAGGTGCACATGGCAGGCAACTAATAGGTGTTTAAATAAAATAAAAAAAAGAAAAAAAAAGAAATAAACCTACAATTTCAGTGGTTTACAGCAAAAAAAAAAGATATGGTGTATATATATATATATATACACACATACACACACACACACATATACACACAATGGAATACTACCGAGCCATACAAACAGATGAAATATTGCCATATGTGACAACAGGGATGGACCTAGAATCCAGAAAGGGAAGGTATTGCTTGTTTCATTAAGCTCCATCTGACATGTAAGCCCAGACATTGTAAAAGCAGCTATAAACATATGGCAGTAAAAAGGATTTGAAGCAAGATATTATTTGAAGATTAAACCCAATAGTAGGCTTAAAAATTAGATGTAGAAGATAAGCACTGTAAAGTTTTTTAGATTATGTGAAATTCTAAGCACTTTTGCCTGTACTTAAGATTTTAAAATATTTTTAAAATGCTTAAAAACCCAGTGTTCTAGGTATAGGTCTGAGTCAGAATGACACATCTGACTGCACTGTTTATAGTGTACCTTTGACTTTACAATTCACTATAAGGTTCAATTTCTGCTGAGTTTTTTCTGCAGTATACATAGAACTTGCACTGTGCCCCTCTCCCCCATTTAAATTTGCAGTCTCTATAAGATTTTGCTGATTAGGGCCAGAATAAAAATGCTTACTGGGGATTTATGAAGGAAGAAGAGATGACCCTAAGTAACTCTGTAAGCTGGGTCTGATTCAACCACTTTCCTTTCTGTGTTCTAACTTCTCTCCTATTCTGGTTCTAGTCATTCAAGTTACAAAGTAGCCTACTATCCAGAAAGCTTTTAAAAAGTCAAGTTCTTTACTTTCCTCTTTGTTATTCAGAGTACTCTTGAGAGAACTCTAAAAACCAGTTTAGTGATGATGAGCGCCCCAACAATTTATTTGAAATTTAATGTCAGGTTTGGTTTAGCAGTGACTGAAGTTGCTACAGTTTCAGTTTAGTTCAAACCAGGTTATATGATAAACAAAAACACTGACAATTAAAAAAAAAAACAGGTCCTCCCCCAACCCCAGTTTGCTTCCAGTTAAATGTAACACTGTAATAGTGAGACATATTTGCTTTTTCCAGTTAATAGATCAGAGTTGGAATCCCAGCTCTGCTACTTCTAGCTGTGTATGGGAAAATTACAGTAGCTACTGCAGCTATAAATATTATGCACTCAAATATATGTTGAATGAGTGAATGGATGACTAAGGAAATGATTTAAAGCTCTCTACATCTTGGTTGCTGTATTTCTAAAAGAGAGGAATCTGGACCTCTACCAAAAGGCTGGGCTGTGATGATTAAATACATATAAAGCATTTACAACAATGCCTAGCACAGAATAAGCACACAATAAATATTAGTTTGTCATTATACCAAGCAAACAGCCCACAACTATATCCAAATTGCTGAAATATGGATTGTAAAAAATGAGTTACAGTCAAACTAGATTATCATTAAGGAGAAAAAAGCAATAAACATTTAAATTTCATGACTTTTTGTTCCAGTTTTGTGTCTAGAGTTCAAGGAAGACCTAAGGAATAGTGAAATAATCAAAACAGTTGAGGGGAAGTTGAAGAGGACCAGAAAGGGAGAAAAGAATGAATCAGGAGGCTCTGATAATTCATAGGCAGTCATTAAATAAGAGATGATTATTGTAACTAGCACTCACTCCTCAGGAAGTGAAAACCATCAGGCCACAGAGGTGAGGGACTATCATTGACTCAGAGCAGCTCAATCAGGGTGCTTTCATAGGTGTGTTTCCTCGTTGTTCCTGGTTTTATTTTTTAACTGGTGATGAGAAGTACAGGGATGGAGTATTTGCTCCTCTGTGCTAACAATCCTGGAATAGTCTCTCTCCAGATACTTCTGCACCCAACTACCCTGACATAAAAAAATGAAGGAGTAAATCCTTGGCTAATTGCTTTTTAGTCAGTCAATGCCATATAACACTTAGAGAGGAAGCATTGCAAGATAAAAATCCAGGGAAGCAAGCACCTAGTCTCTGGGCCTGTTAGATAAAATATGTTGACTTGAATATCTTACTCCATCAGTTATCATTTCACTTTCTTTATGCTTAGAAGAGATTTGATAACTAGTCAAAAACAGCAGCTGGAATCTACAAGTGAAAACAGTTTTCTTGTCTCCATGCAATTTTTATTAATGATAACACATCTAACAAAAAGTCTACTTGCTAAGGCTATACTTATATTAAATATGATGCAGAATGAACGGAATACTGTTTATTTAATTTGCTCACCTGTAATTATCTAATCTTACCCCTTTCTCCTTTCTTAAACCCAATTTTAACCCATTTTTCTCCCCACTTTCTTTTTGCCTTTATTTTTTTTTAAAGAAGGGGATCCCTGGATCTGGCACTTAATCCTTAACTGTATACTTAATCCTCACTTCACAAGCCATTTTTTGCAGGCAGTATTTTTATTTCCATAACGATATTTGATGCCAATGTTATGTTTTTAGGGTACCTTCTTTAACCATTTTTTGATCAAGGAATGCATAATAATTTTAATATAAACTAAAATAATGTGTACCTAAAAATGTAAATCTTTGGGGTAAGAGAAACAGCCGATTTGAAAATAAAAAAATGTTTTCAACTGCTATATTTTGGAATTCCTTTTGTTCTCTTTAATCACAATAAGACTTCCCGAAATATTTCACAAAGTCCTCTGGAAGATTCAGCAGACATGGGGTACAAGATTGATGGAACAGAATCAAGGATTGAAAGTCTGTTAACATAACAACTGACGGACAAGGTCATGGTTATGGGAATGGACTGTGCAATTCTTGTTTTACTCATTCGTTGCCTTCAAAAGTGCAAAGTGATTTCTAGGCTGCTCATTAAATCACTGTCCCAGGACCTACCTCCTCACAAACTGTAGAAAAGCGGTTGAGGAACTGTATAGTGTGCACCACAAACTGGTTTAGAAATGCCACCGTTCTTTTCTGTTGAATAGCTGGCACCTGTTATGTAAAAGAAATACGTAATTCGTACAGGAGGAACATACACTGTGCAATCCCTTTGATCTTAGTAACCACGGGTGTTTTCTGTGTTGAGCCCCTTGAAGTACTCTGAAAAGCACTTGTTTTCCTAAACGGTGGGGCAGGGGGGTTCAAAGATGATACAGGCTGCAGATTCACAAGTAAGAACTTGCCAGGAAACACAACACACATAAACACACAAAAAACTTCCGGGCCGAATAAATGAGGTAGTGTTAGAGGGAACTACCGGCCCCTGTTGCCAGTGAGTCACCCTTGAGCAGGCAGACTCGTGACACGGGAAGCGAAGGCTGGGAGAGGCACCCCGAGCCTTTAAACAGCTCTGGAGGGTTCCCTTTTTATGGTGAACTGTGAGGCTCTCCCACCCGCGGCCGGCTGAAGAGAAGCCTAGGGTCAGGGTCAGGGTCAGGGACAGGGACAGGGCAGGGGATGGGGAGACAGGGGTCTCCCTGGAAACCGGCGTCCCTTCACCATCCTCCTCCCATTTCACCGGAAGTCCAAATCCTTCTTTTACAAACCTTGGTCAGGTCTATGCCTGACCCCATGAGAGGAAGCCCGTCCTCATCCATCTCCTCAGCGGGCGGGGTACCCAGGGATCACCCACAAACCCCTCCCCAATGTGGCCCATCCAACTCCGTATTGACGTTTGAAAGTCTCCCTACGTCCCCGCCTCTTGGGCCCTTCCCACCGGAAGGAAAAGCCTCCACTTGCCAATCACGGGCGGTTATCTCAGAGCCCGTCCCGTTGCATAGCATTCTGGGACTGGTAGTTCTGTGTCTATAAGACTTCCGTGCTTTATATCCTGAAGGAGAAAATAAGACTTGTTTCCAAAAGTCTTTAAAATATGAAATAAAATGTCAAATGCTACTTGGGAGGCATAAAACTGATGGAAATGATATCCACTTAGAGAGATCACGAAAAAGGTGCAACGCACACCTGGAAAGAACTTTGCATCTGAACACCTGGAAAGATGTTCAAAGAACTTTGAACATCTTGGTTCAGATTTTGACTGTGCAGTCTACCAGCTATTTGGCGTAGGACAGGTCACCAAACCAAAAGTTGAACCTCTTCTGCCAGGTACCAAGGAAGATGCTTAGTCCTGAAAAGATGAAGAAAATAGTCTTTGCCTTCAAGAAAGTTATAATCCAGGGCAGACGTACAGCCTAGAAGTGCTGCATCTAGGCAGACATGCAAACAATACTGAGAAAGTTGTGCGCCTGCGTACAAATGTGAGTGCACACCCACACAGATGCAAAGTGCACTGGTACTGTAGATAAAAGGTGCTTCTAAATCTGATGAGAAAGCTAGAGAAGGTAGCTTTTTAGCAGGCCCTGGAATGCGATTACCCAGGCAGACAATTTCGGTGGAACTTTGTACAAAGGCATAGAGGTATGGGGGAGTATGGTAGAGGTATGGGGGAGTATGGTATGTAGGGGAGGGAAATGGTTAACTGTTAGGTTCTGTTGAAGCAAAAAAATCCCAGAAATGGAGAATGGTTGCAAAGGAGGCAGAAGTAGACAGAATAGCTCATTAAGGCCCCTTTGTGCCAGATTTGATACTGTAAATCCATGTTTTCTAAAGCGTGACAAATTATTTGGGTGGTACTTCTTACAATGCACATTCCAGGAATCACCCTTAGATAAACAATCAGGACCTATGGGAATGAGTCTAGAAATCTGCATTTTAACCAATTTTCCTTCTCACCCCCAATTATTCTGAACCAAAAGGTTAAAAAGTTACTTCTATAGGTGATGGTAGCCATTTAAAAATTCTGAGCAGAAGAGTGGCATGATTCACATTTGTAGAAAGGCTACACAATGCCTAGCACATAGATGTATAATAAAGGAGGAAACAGAAGAGTTGAGAGTATTTGTACATGTAGAAATGGGAAGTAGAAATGAGGAAGAATGGGAATCCATTTAAACACACATCTCTTCATGTCTATAATTATGTCTATATAATCTCTTCATATCTATAATTGACTATTTTACTTTTCCTCTTCATTATCTATTGAGCACATTCCATGTTTTAAATACTGTACTAGTGCCACAACTATAAAAAAGATAAACATTGTGACAATTCTAGGCAATTATTTTTTATGTTTCTTTTCACCTGGATAAAGTTCACATGAGGAAGAAATTTTTCAATAGGCTATAAATTACTTGAGGCAAGGATTATCTTATGATTCCTCAGTTAGCACCAGCCACTCTGGTTTCCAATGAATAATCATGAATAATTTCAATACACAGTTTTGATGGCTTACTATGATCTAAGATTGTACCAGGCACTGAAGAGCTATTCATCCATAGAAATTCCCTACTACGTGCCAAACACTGTTATATGAACCTACGTGCCAAACACTGTTATATGAACCTGGGACACAGCAGTAAACAGAACAGACAAAAATTCTGCCTTCATTAAGGTAAACATATAATAAAAAAGTGAACAAACAGGCATTTAGTAGCTCACAGTCAGGGTAGAAAGGGAGAAAAATGAAAAGACATTAATAGCTAAGAGATAAAGATATAAAGGCTAGGTTACAGTCTGCCCCAAATAGGAGCACCTAGCTCAGACTGATGAAATTAGGCATAGCCTCTTGGAGGAGCTGATGTCTTAACTGAATTTGGAAGACATAAATGTTAGCAAGGTGAAGAAGGGGGAGGAGCACTTCACAAAGAGGAACAGCATGTATAAAGGCACTAGGATTTGCACCCCAGAGACCTACATGCCCCAGACAAGAGCACCCTTTCCCTGACCGTCTCACCACCTTTGGTAGGAGTGAATGAAGGCTACTGCCTGTACTTTTGCGAACCTGCCCGCTTCTGCCCAGCTCCTTCTCTACCACTGGTCTGTGCCTTCAGACCTTTACACTCAGTCCCAAACTCCCAAGTCCTCCCTCATCCTTCAGACTCTCAACCTCTTATGACTTCCTACATCACCTCTCCTGATCACTCCCCAACTCCTAGGCCCTTCCTCTAGGGGTTGAGATTTGGGTCATTAGCAAAATCCTCATTTCTCAACCTCTTGGATCATTTTCCTCTCCCAACTAAATTGTGATTGTTGAGGACACAGCATCCTGTTCAGCCCATGTGGTTCTTTTCTCACCCACGCTCCTCCATTAGTAGGCCAGGAGGAGGGATAGGTGTTTCCTTTGCTTCTCCTTGCTTCCAGATCCTTGTCTCTCCTTCTCCCCTAAAAACAGCCCAGGAGTCTGAGTTTATGCTCTCAGATCCAAGATGCTATCTTGTGGCAGTCATCTCCAGTCTCCTGGGTTACTACCACTCAGTCCTTGAAGTTCTTAGTTTTTGGCTCATGGCCAGTTTCTAACACCACTTCTATTATAATTCTTGGGGTTTGAGTATCTACAGAGATCATCTTTCTGGTATCCTGGTCTCTCGATTCCTCCAGCTCTCCTCCAGTGATCTTGTCCCCAGCCCCCCTTCATTGTTTCAGGTAACTTTGTAATTGTTCTGACTTTCAGAACTTCCCTCAGAAAGTTGGATTGTAGGCTTATATCCTCTAGGTTGGAATCCGGCTCCCTCTCTAGAAAGCTACTTTAAGAGATTCAAAGATATTTACAGTTTGGGGAGCCCCAACAGAACAGCAGGTAGCCTAATGAGAGGGTTGGGGAAAGGCCTCAGTTGTATTTATACTCATGAGTTTTTTTAAAAAAATTAAATTATATTTTATTGTTTATGCTATTACAGTTCCTCCACTTTTTCCCTTTGCCACCCTCCACTCGGACCCCTACCCCCAGGCAATCCCCACACCATTGTCCATGTCCATGGGTCATTCACGTATATATATTCTTTGGCTACTGTATTCCCTATGCTATCCTTTACAACCCCATGACTGTTCTTTCACTGCCAATTTGTACTTTAGAAAAAAGATTTTATTTATTTATTTTTAGAGAGAGGGGAAGGGAGGAAGAAAGGGAGAGAAACATCAATGTGTGGCTGCTTCTTGCACAGCCCTCACTGGGGACCTGACCCGAAACCCAGGCATATGCCCTGACTGGGAATTGAACCAGAGATCCTTTGCTTTGAAGGCAGGTGCTCAGTTCACTGAGCCCCACCAGCCAGGGCCCAATCTGTACTTCTTCATCCCTTCACCTTTCCCGACCGTGCTCCTATAGGGTAACCATCGTATCCGTGGGTTTTATGTATTTCATTTTTTTGTTTCATACATTACTATATTGTTGTTCAGTCACAGTTGTCTGCATTTTCTCCCCACCACTCCCCCGAAACCCCATCCAAACCCACCTCCCTCCCTTGCTTCCCCCTTCCCCCTTGGTTTTGTCTATGTGTCCTTTGGTTTTAATACATGCAGGCGTCTAAGTGACAACACAGAGAGGTTAATGACAGTGAAAGAATTTATTGCTTATGTTTCCCAAGAGAATAGGGCAAGCCATGCCACACAGGGCCATAGGGGAAACACTAGATTTTGCTTTGGAGGCAGACAGAAGCAGGAGCCAGGAAAGCTTAGGGCAGAGTCTTTATTTGGATTTTTTTTTTTTTTTGAAAGGCAAGGCAAGGCAAGGCAAGGCAGGGCAGGGCAAACAGTTGAAGACTGGCTAGTGTGAATGATTCTGGAGGTCTTTGGAGCATAGGGGCTGTCCCCAGCTATCTGTGCCTCGCTCTGGGTTGATTTAGGGCAGGGGAAATATTAGTTTGGTGTATGGGAAGTTATATAAGGTAGTTGTGGGTACAGGTACGTCTGCTTTTAAAAGTTCTTGTTATGCCACTTGGCTAACCAAAAGAAATCCAAAGAGGACTGTAGCTTTTGTGAAAAAAGGCAACAAAGGAAAACAGTGTTGTTGGTTTTGCAGGGAAACAATAGGGCAATGGGCACCGCCAGCATCCAAGAGCGGCTCCACCAGGTTCCTGTTCCGGGGAACCACACTCAGCATCTCAGCATCAACACGCCACAGCTTTGAAATGCCTGTGCCCATCTGTGCTTCTCTCAGTATTCTGTGCATCCCTTAGCATGAGATGTCCTAAGGTATCAAAAACCAAACCAAAACAACAAAATAAATCCAAACAACACCTAAGAGAGCTTGTAAGGGTGCCACACTTAGCATAACACTGGACAGAACTAAGCATTTGGGTCATTGTGAACAAAGTAAAGGCATTGTGCGTGCATTGAACTTTGGGTCTGAGAATGCTCAAAATTTTTTCCATATGAATGAATGGTAATTGCTTCTTCATTTCACACCATTTCAGCCTGTAAAAGGTTTCATAGGAACACTACTTTCAGGTACAGGAAACCTATCATGGGTTAGGGGCTGGTTGGTCTGCATATGAAAATGTACTTAGAAATAAGTTGTTTTATTATCTTTAGGAATTATCTTTAGGAATTAGTTGTTTTATTATCTTTAGGGAGAGGTAATCTCTCCCAGGGTCTAATGGGCCACAAGTGCCAGATATTTGTGAAATACAGAAAATAAAAAACATGGTTAATATAATGGGCCCTGTAATGAATGGACGCATAAAAGACAAATACAAAACCTAAGAAAACACACTCACCTTGTATATGTGAACTTTCAGGTAATGTGTTCAGTAAGGCACCTCTCTCCTGAGTCTAGGGTCTCATTCAATTTCTGAAGAAGTGATCTCAAGGGAAGGAGTAGCCGCCTGGCCATGCAAGAGACAGGGAGGATTTGTGGGGGTGATCTA